CCCCCATTTCTGCCAGTACACATTTGCATTTATGAATGCTTCTGAGGTGCTGATGAAGGGAGAACAACTTTCAGCTGGAGCAGAGAGGTAGCGCGTGTGAGTCGCGGGAGTGTGGTCTGATGCAGATGATTAAGCCCGTTGCAAATGCAGAATTAAGTAACTCTGATAACGGAGCCCTTGAGCATCCTTCTTGGAGATTAAACCTTTCAGGCTTTTAGCAGCTGAGAGGTGCTGGGGATTGGAGATAGCTGGCTTAAAAAGGATGGGAAGGGGGGCAGATATTGGATGGGGACAGGAAGGAAAATGCACCACATTCAGGTCAGGATTCTGTTCTGAAATTGGCTGTCGCTGCGAGAAATGCTGGAAAATGTCCCATTATCTGGAGAGAGAGGACAGTGTGTCTGCTTGCTGCCCGTCTTTTCTTGCTTGTCTTTCTACAGGCTGGGGTTTTGATTTTCTGTGCTGGCCTGTTCCTCCAGTTTGTGTATGAGTTTTCATTCTTGTTTGGTGCCTGGGCCTGTTTTACATGTGAATGCCCTTTAGAAGAAAGGGCAGTCATTGCCTCATTTGCTGGGGAGAGAAAGGACCAGGCCTCTGGGCCCTGCAACCTCTTCATTGCACCTATTGACCTATTCATCTCGTGCATATATAGTGTGCACCTTTCCTGTGCTAAACACAATGCCAGGTGCTAGGAGTAGACAGACATAGTCTTTGCCTTCATGGAGCTTAACAATTAAACAGTGGTTGCTCAGGACTGGATACACAATATGCAGGGCCCTGTACAAATGAAAAGGTAAAGCCCCTTTTCAAAAATTAAGAGTTTCAAGACAGTGCTAGCAGAGCACCAAACCAAGCACTGGCTACTGAATGCTAGGTAGATTGTAAGCCCAGGAAGCTGGCCCTGTGGTTTCTTCAGGGAACCTTGTGTAAGGAGAGGGAGTTATTCCTTCCTTATTAGCCCAATCTTCCTTATCATTGAATAGCCTCTGAAGAAAAAGGTATCTTCCTTGACTCAATGGGCCTATGTAAAGAAATAATAAAATACAGATAAAAGGCAAGACAAATATTAAATAAATACTGGTTGCCTGAGACATGTAGCTAAGGCCATGTAAACATATAAAGAATGTTCAACCTTTTTGGAAACATCTGAACATAAATCAGATGTGATGACAGAAAGCCTTGTCATCCAATGTCTTGTCCCATGGAGCAAATAGGCTGTGACCAGTCTAATTGATACAGACTTGAAAGACAGTCTCTATAGAAAGGCCTGTGCCCTGTATGATAACACAGTTTACCAGTTTCTGTAAAGCAACAGACAACCTACCTGGAAGCCATAATAAAATGAAGAGTAACTACAATAGGATAGTTTTTGTATTTCCCTGGAATATTATTTTTAAGAAAAAGATTCTACCTAAATTGGGTAATTTGACAAATAAGTTTTGGAAAGACTCATATTCTATTCCCTCTTGGAGACAGACAATTCATATTAAAGTCCTATGGCTGTGAAGGAAGCCCCTTAAGCTTTTAACACAATGTTATTTGATTATGACACCTCTTTTAGAAAGTAATAACCAATAACAATGTAGAGACCAGGAATTCTGAAGCATCTGCTTTGGAAAATGCCAAAGTATCTGCTTTGGAAAATGTCAAATGCTTTGGAAAAACTTCTAAGATGCATGATCTGGGATCACAGGATCTGGGTTTCAGAGCCACTCACAACTATGGGCAAGTTACTTGGTCTTCTGGAGTCTGGTATCCAATCTGTTAAATAATAATACCCACACGACACAGTTGTGTGGTTTAAATGAGACACTACAAAATGAGAAGAAACATTTTGCAAACTATGAAGCTGTCAAGTGTTTAGTGATTATTGAACTGATATTGAAATAAACAGGAACTATTATCTCTGTTTGAAAGTGGGTAAACTGAGACCTGGAGTGATTAAGAAAGGAGGCTGGAGTTCCATAGCCATTTTGTGGCAGAGCCAATCTCCCAATTCCCAGTTCTCAGCAGGATGACTTTTAAACCAACTTTGCTTGTAGATTTTAGTTTGGAAAACAGGCCACCTCTTTGACAGGCATGTCCTGTGGAACAGCTAGAGGCAGAGACTGGCATCAAAATGCCAACTTTTCTTTCCTTTCTAGCATTGACATCTGATGTTAGCAGAATGATGAATTCAGGGGTGACATATTTCTAGAAGATTTGTGTCCTCTTTAGGCCAGTACACCCTGTCATCTATACGAATCCGTTTTCTACCCTGAAAACCATCACTGAGGCTGATTTAAAAGGGAAAGTGGCTTTTCTTATCATGAGTGAAAAAGAACCTGGTATGTTCTCTGTTGCGCATCTTTGAATGGGGAGGACAAAAACTTTGGAGAGTTGTGTTTTAGAAAAGAATATGTTGTTTTTCTTCCTTCTTTAAAATGAAAATTGTACCAGAGTGGAAAATGTAGAAACGGGAATTAGAAGACCTGTTTCTGCACCTAACTGGCTGCCTGACCTTTGGCTGTTCCCTTACTCTATCTGGGTGCAAGTTTGCTATCTTAAAATAATAGTATTGGACTAGTTTGCAAAATTTAGGGTTTTTTGTGTCTTATCTTTGCAATTTTGCATGTTTATGTCATCACCTTTATTATTTTCTGCATATTTTTCTTTAAACTGATCCATCTATTCTGTACAAATTGTTTTGGAGGGAAACATAAACTTCTGCAAATAAAATTCAGCATCAATGCTGTATATTGGAGGTAACTCTAAGACAAAAGATAGGATGGTTCAGAGGGTACATTTTTTTGTTATATATATTTTGTCTCAATTAAAAAATTAAAAACAAAGCAAAAATAAGAGCAAAGAAAACATAAAACACAACTATTAAAATAAATATACTGTATTTACTCTTTTACAACTCAAAGCTTTCATCCATCAGTGGCAGTAGATGATCCGAAGACGACCTTCTGGCTTCAAAGGTTTTGGTACAGATGATGTTTCTAGTGCAAACTAGGACACCATACTGCCCTTGCCAGAGAGCCACACATCTTTCTTAATCACACCGTAGCCATGGAAACGCCCCCTCCTCCAACTTTGGCAGTCCTTAATGGGTGGTCCCCAGGGCTCATGGCTTGTCTCTAGGAAAACCCTGCCCTGCCTGGCAGACGGTCTGGTCAAATGCATGATTGTTGGTTTCACCTGGATTAAACTGCTCTGTCCATCTGGAGGGTTCCTGGCTTTCATTTCCAAATCAAAATCCTACCCACTCTTTGGATCCCACCTCCTGCAGAAAGCGTGCTGGGATTCCTCCAAAGCCACAATGATCTTTTTCTACTTTCTCCCTAAATTTTCACTCTGTACAAGTATTTTCTATTGGGTTCTTTTCTTTTTTATTGTTTTTTTTGGAGACAGGGTCTTGCTCTCTCACCCAGGTTGGAGTGCAGTGGTATGATCATGGCTCACTGTAGCTTCAAACTCTTGGGCCCAAGTAATCCTCCTGCCTCAGCCTCACGATTAGTCAGGACTACAGGCGCACACCAGCACTCCTGGCTAATTTTTTTCATTTTTTTGTAGAGATGGGGTCTTGCTCAGTTGCCCAGGCTGGTCTTAAATTCCTGGGCTCAACACCAACATAGCACAAGTATACATATGTAACAAACCTGCACGTTGTGCACATGTACCCTAGAACTTAAAAAAAAAAAAAAAAAATTCCTAGGCTCAAGTGATCCTCCCACCTTGACCTTCCAAACTGCTGGGATTACAGGTGTGAGCCACTGTGCATGGCTTAGGTTGAGTTTTTTAGAAATAGAGCCTGAGACGGGGCCTTGGGTGCACGCTGTTTATTGGTGTGCTTTTCTGGAAATACCTGTAAGGACGTGGCAACAGAAGGATAGGGGAGGAGGAGGAGCTGAGGGAGGAAGTGGCTCCGGGTAAGCCTAGTCTGGGCCTGATCCATGGGAGCTCTGGTATTAATCACACCACCATAAGTTGTTCCTCACCCCTAGATGAGATGAACAGCCAGCTTTTTGCATCCTCATGTCATCAGTCACTGGCCTCAGGCTGGCAAGGAGGGAGTGGGGGTAAACCAGTGTTGTGTTGGACCTGGCCCTTATGAGCTTGCGGTGGTCAAGTTTTTAGGAATGTTGTGAGCCACTATTAACAATTAAATCATATAAAGTTATAATTAAGTAAATAATGCTAAAACAATGGAAATACATATTCAAAAGTCATCACTTCTTAATTATTTTACTACAGTTTTAAACATCTGTGCACTTGCAGTTATTGTTGGGTATTGGATCTTTATGGTGGAAATACTATGTGATGGAGAGCTATGTGCATCTCTTCACAACTCCACCTTCAGTGATGTCTTGCTAGGAGCTTGGAGTCGGCCATAATGGGAATATTTACACCAGGGAAAGTGGCAAATACTCAAGCCAGGGCTCCCCCTACCCTATCAGAAAGTGGCTGCTAAACATTTGCCAACACAGCACTGGGTGTCATCTCCCTCATTAGCTGGGTGTGGAGATGGCAATTCTCCAGAGGACAGGGCAGCTGTGAGCCACTGACAGCCGCCACTCAAAGCAGCCAAGGGATGGTACCTGGCCTGGGAATGGGGATCTGGACAGGGCACAGTGTTCTCTATGGCAAGTTATTTGAAATTTTATTCATGTCCTGACTTGTGGCGTCCTGTCATTAGGTTTTTATACGTTTCTTTGGAGAGGAAAGAACAATAGAAGCCTGGAGCCCTGGGTTCTAGTGTTGACTTTGACACTATCTTGCTGTGTGACTTTGGGAGAAGGTCACTTTACATCTCTGTTTTCTCGCCCATGAAAATAGTGGATCAGATGACCTCTCAGGAGGCTTTCAGCCCTGCACAGCCTCAGACTATGTGATCCTCTCAGCCGTTCCCACCTGGGTTAGGAGCGTGAGTACAGAAACCATGTCTCACCGTATTACCTGCAGAACCCAGCACGTGAAACTTTCCTCCTTGATCTCCAGATTTAGAGACCCAGTCGTAAAAATAGATAACATTTATTGAGCACCTACTGAATAGAAGACGTTTTAGATCTTAGCTCATCTAATCCGTATATCAACCTTATGACATAGATTTTTTTTTTCTATTTTACAGATGAGAAAATTGAGGTTCAGCAATATGAAATTACTTGTCCAGTCACACAGCTAGTAAATGGCCCATTTGGATTCCAGCCCCGGTTGGCTTGTGCTTTCAACCATTTTCCACATTATCCTATTGGAAAAGGATTTAGAAGAGGCTCTTGCTACATCAGGGTCTCCATTTGGGATCTAGAGATTGCTTGGTTTAATCCCCGCTTCCACCTATTCTCTGTCTTGCTCAGTCTCAGTTCTCTTTCTTCTGGGTAGAATGGGTTGTAAGCCCCTTTGCAACTCAGGCCTTTGTAACTGTTGAATAGGCAAATGAAGGAGGAAGGCTCTGAGGATGGAAGCCAGCTGTGCACTTGGCTGATGGTCTGGGATGCACAGAGGTGGGATGGGGCGGGTGAGCAATGGAAGGCTGCTAATGAGCGTTTCCCACTGATGCCTCCGAGGGCGGCTGCAGCCTCTGTGCTGCTGTTTGGGGTTGTTGGAGCCATCACAGCACAGCCAGGATTTGCCCTTAGGCTTAGTGACAGGTTGGATCACCTTCACTCAAAAGGCCTGGCCACTCTTTGCAATGTCTAGTCTGTGGTGTGGGTGATGGCAGCTGACATGGACTCCTTACCACCTGGAAATGCATAAAGTGCAGTTTAGCCCCAGGCCGAGGGGAGGTATTCTGTGCAGCCCCCAGAGCCTTTGTTTCTCATGATTTCATTCAACCCTGCCCCCAACCCCCACCCAGCGTCACAGGGATCTTAGTCCCACCTCCCCAGGGTCTGGCCCAGGACCCCTCTCCCCCCACCAGAACTTGGTGTTTGAAACCTCCTCACGTAGCCGTGATTTATTTAGGCCTCTGCCACCCACCTGGGCACCTCCTCTGCCTGGCTCCTGATTTCACAGAAGGTGCTGATGCCTTTCTTGTGATTCTGCCAGCAGAGAAATTGAGGTCAGGGAGATTGGCCAAGCACACTTTTCAGTGGCTTTTAAGGAGGAGCGATCAGTTAGTGATCACTGCGGGCAGAGGGCTAAGGGGATGGCTTCAAGGAGAGAAAAAAGAGCAATTGGATGATCCTGAATTGTAGAAATGAACACAGTGAAAGTACCAGACTGGGCTTGGGGGTCAGAACCTCCCTCAAGCCCCTGAACATCAGCTTCCCCACTCAGGATTTCTCACTTCAATGACTGACTCCATCATCCCTCCAATTGCCCAGGCCCAGAAATCTGGGAGTCATCCTTGACTTGTCTCCCTCACCCCACAGTCTAATTGGCTGGCAAGTCTTGTTGCATCTATTTTCTGGCTCTTGAGTTTAGTCCTTTGCTATGGCCACTGCCCACTACCAAGGGCCCATCAGCTCTTACCTGGACTGGTTCAGCCATCTCTTTCCAGGCCTTGGTCTCCCTGCTTCATCTCTGCTCCCTCAGCTCCCCCATCCATTCCCCTCTGTAGTCGGCAGTGTCTTTTAGAGGTGTACATTTGGCCTTATCATGTCAGCTCCAGGTTAGAGCCTGGAGTTACTGTGAGGATTATCTCCAGGGCGAACTTCAGACTCATTAGCCTTCCAGGAAAAGCAGCTCTTCTTGCCCTGCTCCTGTTTGACTCTCTGTGATGGGGATCCCAAAACTACCTTAGGTTTGATGATTCACTTGAGGGACTCACAAAAATTAGAAAAGCTGTTATACTCATGGTTGTGGTTCACTGCAGCGAAAGGAGACAGATTAAAATCATCCAAGAAAAAAGGTGCATAGGTCGGAGTCCAGAAAGACACCAGGCAGAAATTTCCAGTTGTCGTCTCCCAGGGGAGTCACTTGGATAGCACTGAACTCTGCCAGCAATGATGTGTGACAAAACATAGCCGGGAAACCCAACTGCCCCTTGGTGTCCAGGGTTTTTGTTGGGAGAAGAGAATCAGTCACTGAGGTATGAGTCACCTATGTGATTGACCTTGGCTACTCAGTCTCTATGCAACCACTGCACCCCTGGAATCAAACCGATACAGCGTGGGCTGGGACTCCAGGTAAACAAAAACAGGCCTTTATCATGAATGACACTGTTAGCATAAACTATGTGGGATGGCCCAAAGCCCCGGTGGTACAAAGATACTCTATTCCATCAGGCATGATATTCCAAGGGCTCAGAGGTTATTTCCTGGGGGCTGGTCAAGGGTTAGTTATTTCTTTGGAAGGTGCAGTTTGAGGACCCCAAGCCAGTGGAGTTAACCCTTAATTGCATACCTCACATCCATGATTCTCTCCAGTATTAGGTCATCCTTGCATTGCTATAAAGGATATCTGAGACTGGATGATGTATAAAGAAAAGACATTTAATTGGTTCGTGATTCTGCAGGCTTTATAGGAAACATGGTGCCGACATCTTCTGAGGAGGCCTCAGGAAACTTACGATCATGGTGGAACCTGAAGGGGGAGTAGGCCTATTACATGGCAAAAACAGGAGTGAAAAACAGGAGTGAGAGAAAATGAGTGGGGAGATGCTACACACTTTTAAATAACCAGATCTCACAAGAACTCACTATCATGAGGACAGTACCAAGGGGGATGGTGCTAAACCATTCATGAGAAATCCGCCCCCATGATCCAGTCACCTCTTACCAGGCCCCACCTCCAACATTGTGGATTATAGTTCAAAATAAGATTTGGGCGGCGACACACATCCAAATGATAACATCTCCCATGTATCCCACATTCCAGCCATATTATTTAGCTTGCACTTTCACATGACTCTGCCTTTGCATGTACTGTTCCTTCTGCCTGGAATTCCCTTCTGCCTCATCTTCCCTAGTCTAACTGGAGAGCTCTCACTCATCCCCTCCTGTGTGGAGCCTTCCCTGATGCCCCAGGCAGGCTGAGTTTCCTCCTTCCCGTGTACACAGGCACTGTCGATGCCTGCTGTAATTTGTGGATTCTTCAGCATCCTGTGGATGGGTTCAGATCTATTTTCCACACAATAGGAAACACTATTAGCTCCTTTAGCATGAGAAATATGCAGTCCATTAAAATGTTTATTTTATGTTTTTCCAATGATAAAAGCAATACTTGCTCATGGTAGAGAAATTTGGGCAGCATATTCCTTTTCAGCTTTTTCTTTCCAATGCTTTCTGTGTGCAAATCATCATAATCCGGGAGACCACAGTGCTTGGGCCTGGGTTTGCTTCCCCAGGGCTGCTGATGTTGTTCCAGTCTCTCTAAGGTGGTGAATGAGGGTGACTCCACACCTGTGCTCTCCCAGCCTCCAGAGACTTGTGGGATGGGCTGGGAACTGAGGACAGAGTGTGGAGGAGGGAGAGGAGAAACTTTTTTCCTTTTGTAGGAAGAAGAGGTGGGGTAGGGATGGAGTAAGGGAAGACTTCCCAAAGAAGTTGACATTTGGGCCAGGACTTGAAGGAACTTTAGGATTTTGCTCAGGGATGGGAGGGAGGAGCTTTCCAGGCCAAGGTCATGGAACAAAGGGGTGACTGGCTGAGCTCAAGGCAGTGGGGCTCCCCGGCCCTGGGATGTGATATACCACTTGACTTTCCTTTGATCCCACACAGGAGTTGTTTCCAGGGGGCAACCCTTACCAAGCTGCTGACCCCAAGTTCTGTTTTAGTCGTGGGGCTTCTTTGTTTGTTTTGTCATTTGGCTCTGGATGTGTGTGAAATCCTAATTCAGGCCCCAAATAGCTGGCTGACTAAAACCTAATGAAACAAAAAGATGGAGAAAATGTGCACTAAAACATTTGTCAAGTAACCCCAGGTAGCTTCAGTGCATGCCAGCTTTAAGCCTATAAATACATCGATGGGCACCTCTTTCTTTTCTGAAACAGCAAGCCCTAGGGATTGGAGCCAGCCAGTGATATTCCATTATACTACATTTTCAGTTTTAGGGAATCTTCTGAGCAAAATGGGACCTTTTGGGGCCAACCTGTCATACTCAAGACCATGGTGAAACCTATCTGTTCATGCCAAGAGCTCAACGTCCTACCTGAGTCCCGCTGAATTACCTGTTCTCATCTCCTGCCTTCTAAATCACTCACTGGTGCTTCCTATCATGGTAACTAGGACTTTCCACTCCTCATTCTGCAGCCTTTGACATCACCAGGGCTGAAAAAGATCACTGGGCCTTCATGGGGTGTTTTTCCAATGCGAATTGACTTTGTATGTGTTGGTGAAATTACCAGAATCTTCCACTGCTTGTGTGAGGATGTTTCTAGACCCAGTTCTGTTCTTTTCTTGCCACGTGTCAATCTCTACTTTGTCACTTACTGGTCCTGGGATATTGGATGGGTTACTTGACTACTCTTGTGTGTCAGTTTCACCTGTTAAGTGGGGATGATTATTTCTCAGTGTTCTGGCAGGATTAAATGCGAGTATACATGAACAGCACTTAGGATAGTACCTGGCACATAGTAAGCATTTAGAAATGGTTATAGTATTATGACTGTACTCTTAGATCCATCCCCTGTCTTAAACTCTGGATTATAGGAAAATAGGAGATTCAGGGAGAGCTGGGTTCTTTTTATCAATTTACTCTGTGATGCGGGGTGTCAATTCTTCCTCTAAGGCCTTAATTTAGACACAGTGAAAATGACGGGTGGATTCAATCAGGAATGACAGAGATGTGAAGGACATGAAACTTCTGGATTTTCTCACCCATTTCCTACTGGTCCCAGGCATGCTCTCAGACTATTCTGAATATAGTCCTCCTGGCAGCGATTGTAAATGGATTAGAAGGCACTTGAGCTGAAATCTGTTTTCTGTCCCTGGATTACAGGAAGCATAGGGAATGTGGGGTGCATGGGAGATGATGTAGTTTGGATGTGTGTCCCTGCCCAAATCTTGTATTGATCTAATCATCTATGATCTTAAATAAAGAGATTGGGGGAGTCTAGTTTTCAGGCTCCACAGATACTTCATCTCCTTCCCATACAGCTCTACCCATTAAATATGACAATAGATAGAAACTGACTTCCAGAAGGGACTCGGGACAAACCATTTGATGGAGAATAAACAGGGGCTTGCCTTACCAGCTGGAACATTTCCTGAACCTCAGTTTGTCCAGTTCTCTCTGCATAATATTCAAGACAGTTTTACTAAAGGTCTGAACACAATTTATCTCTGGCTTTGGATTTGTTTTTTAATTTGATTTAGCCAAGGAGCAGAAAGGAGACAAGATTGACTGGAGCTCAGGGTTTGTAGGAGAAAATCCTGAGTGGACAGGACCAAATTATGGTGGCTCCTTCTTGACTGTGATGATACGTCCTCCTCTGAATGTCAGAAATCTAGACAAGTGTTTTGTCTTTAGTGGAACATACAAAAAAAGGACAAAGACCCTGTAGCAGTCACTGGTCTGATTCTTTTATCTTCTGTTTTTTCTTTCTGCCATCCTTTAATGAACCCAGTGGTCTGCTTAGGAATACCACCCTTTCTCAAGTTTCCTCCAATTCTTTCTTCAATAGTGTAAAGAGAATTCCCAATGTGAAGAGAATGGGCAGGGGAGCAGGGAGCAGTAGTTCTTAGGCCAACTTTGCATCTTTCCCTATTTGCATTTATTATCATGCACTAATTATTCACAGAGAGCCTTGCCCTTTGTGGGTTCGCATTAATTTAGATTGCTTTTGAAAAGCAATCAAGGAGGGAATGAAGTGATCACACATCAAAGGGAAAAAGATATGGCACCAAAGAGAGGCAATATGCTTTGCACAACTGGCCATGTCAGGCTGCTCTGAGCTTTCTCTAGCCCAGGGAATATCAGAAAGTCCATCTGAGCTCTCCTAGCCCTGGTGTGGCCCGATTCAGCTTTCTTCGTGTCCATTCTCTCAGTGGATAAGAAGGTGGAGAAGGCATAGGTGGCAGATGATTGCTGGGCAGAGACAGGACACTTTTCCTCGCTCAGCCTCAGCTTCCTCATCTAGAAAATGAAAAGGTGGATTAGATTATCTTTCGTGCCCTTCTCTCTAGGTCTACAACTCTCTGCCAAAGTTGGTTTGAAGACCTATAATTGTGTAACATGACAAATGGATACACTAATTACCTGCTCCTAATTCATAAGGTTCTCCTTGCTCAGTCTTCCCTTGGGTATTATTAGGAACAGAAAGGTGAACTAATATTTCTGTTATCTCTCTCCTGCTTCAGTTATCCGTGCTATTAACCTTGGTCATGAATTTTTCAGTTGTCAACCTTTTGTTTTATTTGGGTTCTTAAAAAAAAAACTGTGTTATTGAAGTATAATGTACACATAGAAAAATGCACATTTGGTAAGGGTACAACTAGATCCTTGCTTTTTATGATCACTGTCTTGTATTCTTTCTCCCCTCACCCCCTCATTGTACTTCCTTCTAATTTGGGATGGGCACAGAAAGGGTCTAGGACCAGAGTCGCGTTCCAAATCTATTGATTCCATAGGCTTCTGGCAGAGGGTTGTTTGCTAAATGAGTTTGGGGGATTTGTTGTGAACCTGGTTTCTGTTTCTGTAGTCACTGTCAAGGGGGAATATGAAGAATTGCAGGTGTTCTGAGAGTGTCTTTGATGGGTATGAGTCACATCGTACACGGCCTTGTATGGGACACCCAGGGAATGAGCGTTCAGTGAAATGAGATCGAGGCTGAGGGTAGGACCCTGGTGGATTGAAGAAGTTGGCAGGGAAAAAGGAGGCAGGGCAGGAGAGTGAGGCAGAGTATGCCCTGTCAGCAAGGAGCAACACAGATGAAGCCACAGTAGGGTCTAGATTCACAGAAGCCAAGGGGGCTCGCAGTGTGCACAGAGGGGCAGCGGGGAAGAGACAGTGGCTGGCTTCTTAAGCTGTTCTTCCCAGGGGGAGAGGCCCAGGGCTGGGAAGGACTGCTGGATTTGTGATTAGGAGATTGGCGAA